TATCAGTTTTTGTTAATTAGTGAACATACTTTGACATTTATCTCCTCACCTAATGTACGCCGAGCCCCAGAAACATACAGTGAAGCGGCATTCACGTAGCTATCAGCTCTTATTTTTAAAAGATTTTGTAAAAAAATAAGAAAAAACAGGTGTTGATGTCGCTGGCCTGTAATAAGGCGGAGCCTCCTGAGGGGGCGGTTCACCGAATGATACTTTAGCGAATAGTTGGGCGCCGCGAAGCGGCGTTTACGTGTGGGCCAATACACGCACACATGTGGGTTCACATTTTTTGTAATGAGCCGCCTCAGACTGTCGCCGCGAAGCGGCGTAAAGCGCAGCGCGGCGGATGGGTTAACGCGCGCCCCCGTTATTGCCCCGGAGGCTCCGCCTTATTGCAGGCCAGCGACATCAATACCAAAACACATTCTGTATGCTCAAATCTTAAAAGCTTGCAAAAAAAAAAAAAAAAAAAATGGGTTGTGGATATTTAGACAGCGTGATGTTGATCAGCCATTCAAATGATGCGCATACGTCTACGCTATAGATGAGATATTTAGCCAGTGCAGTACAACTGGTAGTCTGGGTCATTCAAGGAAATATCAACGTCTCCTTCGGAAGTAAATTCGGAGCCTCGTTGACTTTGGACTTCAATCAAACTTTCTGTTGCCTCGGCTTCTGCCGCCACCGGAAGAGCGCAAACATCTTCATCTGTGCTAGAGTCCACAGGATCTATCAGGGAAACGTCATCGTCTTCGTTTGAAGTAACTTCGGAGCCTTGTTGACTTCTGACCTGAATCAAGCTTTCGGTTGCCTCACCTTCTGTCGTCACCGGAGGAGCGCAAACGTCTTCATAGGTGCTGGAGTCCACGGGATCTTCTTTGCGGTACCTTTCTAGTTCCCTCTGAGCGTTTTGCGCGATTCTTCTTTTCTGGCGATCGGACAACTCCGACAGCGAACGCTTACGCGCTCCATTCTCCACAATAACAAGTAACAAAATACCACGTACCTTGTTTTGTGTTATTTGCAGGGAGAACGGCGATTGAACGATAGGGCGATGGTGACGATAGCGCTTTCAAAAGCCTCGGCCTTGCGCGGGAACGCTAACGGCTGCGCAAACAAAAGAAAAGTGCTACTTCTGGCTATGGCTAGAGACGAAAGGCCTAGAGCCCGATAGAGTCCAGAATGGCCCCGCTTTCGATCATTTTATTAATGAACAAAATAAATAATTTTATTGTATATAGTACCAAATAACACGTATAATTTTTTTTAATTATAAAATTGATTTTAATCACTTTAGCACTTTAGTCGATAATAAAGTTTGGTTGTGTTGGTGAACATTGGTCGACGTCGCTAGGTGACGCAAGCTACCGCTCGTTACTACTCGTTACAAAGGGTATTTATCTATCCATCCAGGCAGCGTACTCAAAATGGCAGCCGTGTTTTCCCGTTCTTCCCAAGCGTTTTTCCAAGCGTTTTTCCGATGACACCGATTGAGAGCAGACGAAGTGATCCGCGTACAAGCTTTTCATCATCAGAAGTTTAAAAACTCAGGTTTACGAGTGCTACATCTGTGCATACTCTTTGATAGGCGCTTCAGATGTGTGAGTTCATATCGCGGGTGACGAAACTGTAGAACGGAAGCTCTGCGAGCGCTCTACACGGCCCTCGTACTTCCCATTTTGGACTGGAGTATTGCTCGGCGACCTAGTCCCCGCCCCAGCAGCACCTCTGGGAACGGCTCGAAAGTGTGCAGCGCCGTGCGACACGGATCATCTGTGGCACAGCGGACGGCTCGTACGATGCACGCCTGGTGTGGGTGCCCTTGGTCGGCGACCCCCCACGAGAGGCGACGGGCCTCACGGATGCGCGCACTGTGCCGGATGCTCGATGGACCGCTTTCCGGGATCTCGTTGTACTCCGCAGTGCGGACAAGCAAAAGAACTGGGCAGCCTGAGCCTCTCCGTGGGAGGACCACCCGCCACTGCTAGCTCTTCTCTCGCCAACTGGCTTTGAGCTCGTGACGACCAGTGACTTGCACCATTATTTTTCTTGTTGCTGTGTGTGCTTGTTTTGTTTTACCCTACTGAGTCCCCTTTCTCCTGTCTCCTGCACTGTAGGGGGCGGCCTGCTAGTAGGCGCATATGCATAAGGGTTATCACCTTCTTGTCTAGCCTTGCACGTCGTCGCATACACGTCAAATCCGTGTGCAAATAAATTACAATCGCAGTTACAATTACAGAAACAAAAACAATGGTGACAAATATTCCTGCACAACTATACACTGCATTGACCCTTAAATAAGGTGCAGCGAAGGCTACAGCCACTAGACCACAGGCAGCGTGAGACGGCCCTTTGGACATGAGTGAGCGAAAGGACATGTGGTGCATGCATCCTGCTTCGTGGGCGCTTGCTCACTGGGGCCATTCGAAAGCTTTTGAGCTTGCTCGTGCTGCACGCAGGTGTAGCTCTACCAAAACTGAAGTGGCGATTGGGGAGATTGTGCATTCCGTTTACTATTTCTGATTACTGGGAGGCCATGCTCCGTCCATTTTAATTAAATATTCATTAGTTAATTCAGAAATTACTTCAGTAAAACCAAACTGCTACATCCATTCAATGGAGCCCTTTACACACAAAAGTACAATAGTTCCCAGACCATAGTCTGCAGACTATACATGCCTAAAAGTTAATATTTCACTCTGCAGACTATCTGCAGGTGCAGAGGATACAAAACATTTTGTGTCTTTCGTTCTAGATATTTTACAATACAATATTTACAATATGTTTTGCTTTGCTGAAGTGAGAAACAGGTCATACTGTCAGTGTGTCGTCCAGGCCTTTGATGTCTTGGGGTTGACAGGCTGTTAGCTTAAGTGCCTCCAGGCAATCTTTGTTTGTCAAGCTTAATCCTCATGAGCTCTGTGATTCACCACGACAAGCGGGCTCAAAAGGACCTCTCCCCATAATGTGGACCGTCTAAGGAAACAGATATTCAGTTCGAATTTGCCCCTGTGGACTATACACCGAGTGGGGACTGTATTAGAAAAACACTTTTTTCGAGCCAAAATTAACCCTTGTGGGCTTCACGCCGGGTGCGGACGAAGAAATATTGTAGCGGTTTATTTCCTTAGGGCATTGAGACATTACAGAGTGGAGTGGACAGAAATATCTAATTGCAAACAAACACATTAAAAACTAAATAAAAATATTGTTAACAAGATCCCGAATTCATTATCACACTGCATCTTTAAATTCGGTGCAATCAGCTATGCCAGCGATAAGTAGGGGGGATGATTCTTGCCTAGTGATGACATAGGCGGGAATGACTGACAATAGGTGTAGGTGTGACAAAGGGGGATGTCATTGTGGTGGTGGATCTTATGAAATAAATACAGGCGAGATATGTTTCTGCAGACAGAAAGGCGTGTTTTCCTCTCAAGTTGCGGGATGTTTTTGTAACATTTTATAAGTTACCACAGATGCATCTCCTTAATGTTACCTTTGAAACATAGGCTCTTTGTTTCTGGATTATATTGCCCTAACATTTCTGCAGCAACATTTCAGTAACATACGTAAAAGTAGTGTAACGTTGCATCTCACTTGTGTAACATTGTGTTGATGTTTCGAAATAATGTTTTTGCAATATGGTTTTAGTAATATTGTCGTTACATTGTTACACGTTGCATAACGTTGCACAACATTAGCCACGTTGCAGTAACGTTCCTGCAACATCTCGTGCTACTAGGGCTGTGGAAAGCAAGGACACATCCAGCGGATATGTCAAGCTGATAAGCGTGCAAACGAGTCGAACCGCAGAAAGAACTTGCAAGTTCTGAGTAGAGCGTCTGACGTGGCACTAAACGGAGTCACGTGTCCAGAGCAAAAACCGATAAACGTCCGCGTCATCGTCAACGAAACGCCTCTCGAGATGGAGCTCGACACGGGAGCGGAGGTGTCTGTAATATCGGCAAAGCAGCAACAGCGATTGTTTCCTTCTCTGCAGCTGACAGCTACGGCGTTGCGCCTTCGGACGTACTACACTGGAGCACTTGTGGAACCGAAAGGTGTTGTGGACGTAACAGTCCAACACAACGGGCAAATACATGTCCTGTCGTTGTATGTTATCGAGCAGGGAGGGCCACCGCTCCTGGGCCGACAGTGGCTTCAGCGTTTGCGCTTGGACTGGAACACTATCGTCACGTGCAACAAGCTTTCCTCGGCGCTCGGAACGACTGACAAGGGAGCCAAAGCCGAGGTAAGCAAACTTTTAAGCAAGTATAGTAACCTCTTTAACGAAGAGCTTGGATGCATAATGGGAGAGAAAGCCGAGGTGTTTCTGAAGGAAGACGCTCGCCCGAGGTTCTTAAAAGCACGGTGTGTACCATTTGCCCTCGTCCCTGCGGTTGAAAAATAACTGAAAAGAATGGAGGCTATGGGGGTCATCACCCCAATCACGACGTGCGAATTTGCAACACCGGTTGTACCGGTTGTAAAGAAAGATGGAAACATTCGCCTTTGTGGGGATTATAAGACTACTGTAAACTCCATGCTCGACAGCGACCGTTATCCTTTGCCCGAGTTGAAGAAATCTTCGCTGCGCTTGCTGGGGGGCAAGAATTTTCAAAAATTGACTTGAATGGGGCCTACCAACAAGTTGTGCTGGCTGATTCTGCGCGCCGTGTCCTTGCAATTAACACGAATAAAGGCTTGTTTGCCATGAACAGACTCCCTTTCGGGGTCTCGTCAGCCCCAGGAATTTTTCAACGTATCATGGACACTATGCTAAGCGACCTTAAGGGCGTCGCTTGTTATTTGGATGATATCCTGGTTACTGGGAAGTCAAGGACTGAGCATCTCTAAAATTTAGAAGCAGTGCTCAAGCGGTTGGCTGAACGAGGAATCCGTGTCAAGGCTGAAAAATGTACCTTTTTCCAGAAAGAGCCCAACTACCTTGGCCACAGGCTCAGTGCAGCTGGCATCCACACCACGACGAAGACCGACGCCATCAGAGCTGCGCCCGCACCAGCCAACAAACAGCAGCTTCGCTCACTGCTCGGAGCTATCAACTACAACGGCAAGTTTCTCCCACGTCTAGCGACGATGGCACACCCACTGTACAGACTCCTGCGTGAAGACCAGACCTGGTCGTGGACCCGTGTCTGCCAGAACGCCTTCGACGACATCAAGAACGCCCTGGCTTCCACGAAGGTCCTGGCCCACTACGATCCGAAGATGCCCCTTCAACTGGCCTGAGACGCGTCACAGTACGGGGTAGGTGCCGTACTTTCGCACATCTTCCCAAATGGAACGGTTCGTCCTGTCGCCTGCGCATCGAGAACGTTGTCGGAGACAGAGCAAAAGTACAGTCAACTGGAGAAAGAAGTGCTCGCGCTTATCTTTGGTGTAAAAAAATTTCACTGTTATCTGTACGGCCGAAAGTTTATAGCGATAACAGATCACAAGCCATTGCAGGCGATGCTGGGACCAAAGACTGGAATCCCGACGATAGCAGCAGAACGCCTTCAGCGTTGGGCCGTGACGTTGTCCGCATACACGTATTCCTTGAAGTTCAAACCTACAAGTGAAAACGTAGAAGCAGACTGTTTTTCGCGCTTACCACTGCATGTAGTTGACTCCGACGAAGCTGATGAAACGTTCTATTCCTTACGCCTGCAGTCCATGCCTGTAACCAGCAAGGACATCCCACGGGCGACCGCGCAAGATCCCCTTCTTTGCAAGGTTATTGAGTTGACGAGCACGGGTTGGCCAAACTTTGCGCAGGATGCGGAACTCAAGCCATTTTTCAACAGGCGGACCCAGCTCACACTGCATCACGGATATCTCCTCTGCGGCATGCGTGTTGTCGTACCCCCAAAGCTCCGGCCTCTGGTTCTTCAAGAGCTCCACGACGGACATCCTGGTCTGGTGAGGACAAAAGAACTGGCCAGAAGCTATGTTTGGTGGCCTTCTATTGACTGTGATCTCGAGACACACGTAAAGAAGTGCAAGCAATGTCAAGAGCAGCACAACGCTCCGGACAGTGCTCCCTTGCATCCGTGGTCTTGGCCGACTGCTCCTTGGAGACGTGTGCACCTTGATTTTGCCGGACCTTTTCGTCAGCGCACGTTCCTTGTTGTCGTTGATGCCCATACTAAATGGCCTGAAGTCTGTGTGATGAAAAGCACAACTAGCCAGAACACAATTATTTGTCTCCGTGAGATGTTCGCGAGATTTGGATATCCGGACACCATTGTCTCCGACAACGGGTCACAGTTCACCTCTGCCGAGTTCAAAGCATTCTTCCGAGAGCTGGGCGCACGCCATGTCACAACGGCCCCTTATCACCCCAGTTCAAACGGGCTGACCGAACGTTTTGTTTCAATCGCTCAAGAAGGCATTAAGAAAAGGGAAGAGCATAAAAAGCCTAGACGAAACTCTTCACTAGTTCCTGCTGACGTACAGGAACACGCCCCACGCTACGACAAAAGAGGCTCCGGCGAATCTGATGTTCGGTCGACGCCAGCGATCTAGGCTAGACATTCTTCAACCGATGATAGAAGGGCGAGTTGGGCATAGCCAATTCATGCCTACCAGCGTCCCTCCACGCCCCGTTCTATCACGGTCGGCGATGCTGTTATGGTTCGTAATTACAGGGTTCCGGGCGTCGTGGTACAGCACAAGGGACCCGTTTCCTACACAGTGAAGGTTCAAGCGTCCCGTGGCCCCGCAGTGTGGCATCGTCATCAAGATCAGCTGCTGCGCAGTGTTCCCACTGCCCAGCGTCAACCAAGAGCAGCAGGCAGAGGACACCTCGTGGGAGTGCTCTTCTACACCGGCTGCCAGCGGCACCCCTCACGTGACCGGCAGTCCTCGAGCACCCTTTCCTCAAGCAACGCCTGCTGAGATTCCTGGAAGTCCGCAAGCGGCACCAGCCACCGTTTCGCCGCCTCCTGCTCCCAGATACCCCACAAGAACCCGAAGACCTCCGGACCGCTATTCCCCGACATGGCACTGTTTAAGCGGGAGGGAATGTTATAGATAGCGGCGCAGCCGATAACAGTTTATCAAAAGCCGCGTGTGCTCACGTGGTCCCGGCAGCTTCTAGAAAAGCAAGAGCTCTCGCTCCTTGCACTTTTTCTCACGCTTGGTACTGGTTAAGTTGCACCATGTAGTAATAAACGCCTACTCAGTCTTCAAGCTGTCGTCTACCTTCATACACAAAACCTCGGGTCCCAAATGTGATGCAAAATCGTATCATTCTATGCAAAAGCTTATATGTCTCATCACTTGGAATTGCACTTTCAGTACATTAGTTATCAATAGGTAATATTCACTGAGCCTGCAGGTTCGATTTTGCCAGGGGGCGCCACCGTCGATCCGCAATCTGCGAGGTCGCAGTTTGACCAATTTGACTGGCTTGGGTACGCGGTCGTCCGTTGGTAGTGTGTGCTAATGTCATGTCGTTGAAGAAGCTTCGTTGAACAGAAAAGAGGAAATCTCGGGGGCGGGCCGTTTTAATTTCTTTGTTGCCGCCGAGTACCGTTTGTAAAGGCTGAACCGCATGTAAGCAATTTAGGGAGCGACGACGACCCGCTTCGCTGTCGCTCGGTCACTCGCGCGACGAGGCAAACCGCATGAAAGCGACGGGAACAAGCGACCATGGCGATGAGCGACGATTTCTAGAAATCTAAAAATCGAACGACGCGACGAGCGACCGTGAGAAATTTCCGTCGCTCGTCGCCGACGGTTCGGTTCATCCTTCACTGTCGCTCGTCACGTAGCTCGGTTTTTAGATTTCTAGAAAACTTGGCGCTCATCGCCTTAATAGTTTGCTTCCGTCGCTTTCATGCGGTTCGCCTCGTCGCGCGAGTGACCGAGCGACAGCGAAGCGGGTCGCTTGTCTCGTCGCTCGCCAAATCGTTGCGTGCGGTTTTTAAATCGTTTGGGCTAATGAAAAATGCGGCGCATTTTCCATTAGCTGCGCACTCGGTGAGCCACACGGTATGTTTCTGCACGGGAACGAACAACGAAGGCACGACGTACGACACGGAGGCGATGAAGCAACACGATTATACGGCCGTAATGGAGGAAATCCGCTAGAGGAAAAACAATAAGGAAACTAGCAAAACAAAACAAAGAGCGATTGCATTGTGCTACAAAAGCCCCAAAGTAGAAGAATCGCAGTTCTTGCAAAAGAGCTACCGACGTGGGCATGGCGCGCGACACGGAGCGCTCATGGAGCCGACGGAGCAACCCGGCCGCGTTGGAAAATTCCGACAGCGACAAAAACGAACTAAAACACACACACAAGATATTCCTACGGCGCTTCAAAGCACCAAATTCTAATAACCCCTAGTTTCGGCCAAAAAGACCATTTAAAGTCGTAAAATGCTGCTTACCCACGCTGAAAGGTCCGGCCAGACGACACCTGACACCTACGTGGGATAGAAAGAGACCTCGAAGATGGCGACCGTGGTGGCCGATGCCAGCGCACCTATAGCGAGCGACGTCAAGTGAATGTCACCTACACCATCTTCAAGATCATTAGACTCTCAGGTAGATAATAAAGGTTTCTCAAAGATTTTCCGCTGCGCGACCTGTGTCTTCCATGTCTACGCTCGTCGTTCCAAGTACTTGCGTGCCTAGTTTCCTTCCGCTCTCCCGGGGTAGCGGTTCCGTCGCGCGTATATACTTTCCGCCGGCTCCTCGGGGCGGCAATAGTTCATACCTTTGTTCAAAATTCTGTGTCACTCCTGTGTAGTGGTTAAACAGCTTCGCTGGTCATTCACCTTCACAGAGTGGAATGGCTCAAGATTTTATTTCAGAGCGTCTCTACTCGCCGCGTAGTTTGTTTTATTTTAGCTCAAAGTGCAGTCGAAGGCTCGGACACATACAAACACATACTAAAAGCGCAAGTCACTGGACAGTCGCTGCACTTGATTCGTTTGGTCGATGAAAGACCACGCGGAGGACGATGGACGAATGCCGCGATGTCGCGCTTTGAAGCTGGTTGGTCCCATTCGCCCGTAGCATCGGCTGGACTTTAAATTAAGCTGCAACGAAATGTTGGGATTGCTCGACAACCGCTCCAGTTGGTTGATGTGGTGGTGAATTGATCGTAGACGTCTAAATTTCCAGACGATGTCGGTGATGTGAGGAGCTAAAAGTTGCGAGAAAACATTGCCAAATTGTAGGATTGCGGCTACCGCGTTAAGACAGAACCGGGGTCTTGTACTCCCGACCAGATCCCTTAGTTATCGTGTCTGCTGCACGCCTCCGAGCCGCCCCTCACCAGCCCGCGGGTGTCGAGCTTCACCGCTTTGCACCGGAGTGTTAGGTGCAGCGGCTGACACGGGTGAGCGCCTGCGTTAGCGCGATAGGCTCAGTTAGGGTACCTTCATGTGCGCTTCGCATAGAGTGATGCCAACTGCTGTTTCCCTTTCCCACACCCTCTTCCACCGCCATTTTGTTCCTCTCATTGTTTCCCCGTGCGCCGGAAAGTGGCCTTTGTATCCATCGGTCCTCCCATCCGAGAGGGAAAATGCTAATCCTCCCTCCGTGGGTTCCACAACGCTGCTCCGAACTTGTGAGATAAGGTGCTTGTTTCCGGGAGGGCTGTAAGCCCCACGGATTATCGCCGAGAACCAAAATGGCTGCTGGTTTGCCGGCGAGTGGTATTACAAAGGGTGGCATCACCCTAGCAAAGCGCACATGAAGGCTCCCTAGGCTCAGTAATTACGCTCAGTACTATTCCAGGTCTTACCTTTTTTTTTGTATTTGTGGTAGGTTTATTTCTAGTTTTAAAAGTCTGCGCCGAGAGAAAGAAAAATGCTGTTCTATATTTGATTAAGGTTGTTCCCGTGCAGCTGTCGATCGAAAGAACGGCTAACTTCGACTACACTCTGGTTCCAACGCCGCTGAAGAGCAGTGTCAAGTGCACAAGTGTAGGCTTTCATAATGTGTGTCAGATCGTAATATTTAAGCCTCGAGTTCGGTAGGTTCGTAAAAGGTAGTGACCATTTCTACGTCTACGCTTAAAATAATTCTAAATGTTATTTGGACGTCCGTGACGCCGTTTACTGAAGACGTAAAAATATTTGGAAAATCATTTTGACGTCCCCTGTCAAAATATACGTTTCTTCTCATTTTGACTTTTCAAACTTTGAACTTCGGGGCTTCTGAGTTGGGACCGGAAAGTGATCGAAAGTAATGGTCGAACAAGCATAATCTAGCCGGCGGCGTCGCGGTTCAGCGCCAATTAACCCAAAAGAATGGTGCAGTCGCCTGCAGTTTTTATAACATTTTAAATAATGTAAAATGCAAAAAAAAAAAAAAAAAAAAAATTCTCAAAGTACATTAGTTATTAGGCCGCACGTAACATTTGCTTTGTTTTGCCCAGCATTACAGAATGCGGCACCGTTGCTTTTCACGATTTTTCCCCCGTGTTTTATACAGGCAAAGGAGCTGTGTCGTGTCATAAAATTTGCGGTTGATTCGAAGATGCGCGTATCTCGTACAACCGCGCCATAAGTTTGCTCGTTCTCACCGGTCAAAAAAAAAAAAAAAAAAAAAACATTGAGGAGGCAATGTTTGCATTTACAACGTTTTAGTTAACATCCCGATCGTTTCGTAGTTGATCCGCTCGTTATATACGAACCAAACAGAAAATCTGAACAAGGAACTCGCGAACCCTGGTTCAACACAGGTCGGAAACCAGATGCCAAGCGAGACTGCAACCAAACGCGCTCGCACGATATGAAGGCACAAAAAACGAGTTAGTCCTGCACATAACGCACTTACGTTTTGTAATAGAAAAACTGGATGGTTTATTTGGGAACAATTAAAACGTACATTCACTCTCAAGAAAAAAGGGTGTCAAAAGGTGTATTCTTACACCCTTTGTCCCATATAATACACCCCAAAACTTCAATTCGTCGTACAGCGCTTTACAGTCGAACAGACGGCCCGAAATTTTACAAGGGGCTTGATAGCCGTGTGGTGCAACTTATTAAAATAGGTAATGTACGTTTTACTTACAACAAGAAAAATAATCGGGGTTTTCTTGGCCCTACTGTAAAAACTCGGTGTTTTCTTTATGTGGTCTTTGATACCTACTTTAGCTATTTAAAATGTACCACGCGGCTATCAAGCCCCTCGTAAAATTTCGGGCCGTCTGTTCGACTGTAGGGCGTTGTACGTCGAATTGAAATTTTGGGGTGCATTATATGGGACAAAGGGTGTAAAGATACACCTTTTGACACCCTTTTTTCTTGAGAGTGTTGGGTACAAACTCGGAAACTTGGATGCGAGCCGGATGCCCATTCGACCGCCTCGATGGTCTCGATAAACACAATATGAAGGATACTCAAAAAAAAAAAAAAAAAGGCGCGATGTCCATTACGCTAATGCTGGCGCTAACACTCGGCCATCCTGCTCCTTTAACTGTCCTCAGTTAACGTAGTCCTTTGACCACACAGGTTTACGCTTTGCGCGTTTTGACTGACGCAGGGTACACCGGGGACTACTTGGTTGGTCCATGTCTCTTGCTTCTTCACAGCTGGAGTATGAAGGGTTGACCGTTTGTCCACCACCGTCCATGCTGGTGTGGCCGTCTGGGCACTCGATGGAAGCTTTCTCTTCTGAGGCCAGTTTAAAAACAGCTTCAGTTGACTTGCACGGGCTGTTGTCGTGTACTGGCTGTTTCTCGGATGTTCGGAAGGCATGTTGCTTACGCGGTAGGTATCCGATGGAAGTACCTCTACAACCGTGTAGGGTCCTAGGTACTTAGGCTGCAGCTTGGTGGACTCTCCAGTAGAAACAGGTGCTCGTTTCACCACCACCACGTCACCTACTGCATAGTGGAGCGCATCACAGTGTCTCTGGTCATACCGTCGTTTAGCACCCGTCTGAGAATCCAGAATCGCCTGCCTGGCTTCCTCCCGCAGATCGTGGACACTCCGTTAGTGATCTGTGCCAGGTGGGACCAGTTCTTGGAGGTTGCTTCCTAACGCTGGCACAAATCCATACAAAAGTTCAAATGGGGAACGGCCTGTGGTTTTGCTGACAGTGCTGTTGATGTCTTCTTGTACCTTCTGCAGGTGATGATCCCAATCACGTTGGGTTTGGTACTGCGTTGATGCCGCAACTGCTGGGATCAGTATTCGGTTGATCCGTTC